AGCTATGATGACAAGCAGGTGTGCTCTGAGTCATGAGCTGTTTTCACAGGGAAATGCATATGGCCTGCCAAAACAGATTACTCTGCTTTCTACAAAATTAGACCTTTTGGAAGAAGACAAGGCACGTGCTCGGACTTGGTCGTGTAACTTGTGCTGCCTCCAAAAATACACCACTACTTCTTGCAATGATTGTTTCTTGCTTGTATTGTGTTACATAGATTTTGTTAATTCTTGTTTTTTAGTGGATAAAGAATTTTTAAAATTACTGGTTTATGTAGATAAAGTTATATTCTCAGTTACAATATTGGAAAAACTGTTGCTGTGATAAAGTGATGGAATTTATTAATATCTTCATCAAAGTCTAATTGTTTGGTCATCAGTTATTTTGTACTTCACCTCTCTAATTTTCAGGCTGAGTTTGCATTCCAGCAAGTAACAGCATGATGCTTTGGAACTTGCTATATTTTTTAGCTCGCTGTTTTGTCCCTTTGTTTTACTGGTAGAACTACAGAATGTAAATGGAGTATCGCAGGGGAATCTTTGGAGAGCTTACCATTCATTGCTTTGAAATTGAAAAGCACATTTCAGGAGCTCCCTCCTTGCCTATTGATTGTATGTCAGCCATAGTGTTGGCAGTTCCATAATTGAGAAATGATTCGATTTCTCTTTGGACTTTCTCATTACTGACTCTTTGAGCTAGAAGGCTGACCTGAGATGCTAAGTTATTATTTAGGATCACTGTTACTAAGGATTGTAAAATTGCATAAGCTGGAAGGGACCTTAGGAGGTCTGTAGTCCTACCCTCTGCTTTGAGGTCAGACAGGTTGCCCAGGACTTAGACATTTGTGTTTTCACTCCCTGCAAGGACAGAGACTACTCAGCCTCCTTTGGCTGTCCTCAGAGTGAAAAGGCTTTTCTTTATATCCTGTCTGAACCTCTCTTGTTTCAAGTTCTATGAGTTATCCCTTGTCCTCCTGCCATGCATCACTGTGAAGAGCCTGGCTGTCTTCTTGGTGTGCTCCCCATAGGTACTGGGCACTGCTGTTAGGCACCCCCAAAGCCATCCCTTTTCCAAACTGATCAAGCCCAGCTTCCCCAGACTCTCCCCACAGGCAAAGTGCTCCAGCGTTGGCTATCTTGGTGACCCCTGCTGAGCTCCCCCCAGTTACACAATGTGTCTCACATATTGGGGAGACCAAAACAGGATGCAGTCTGTCTGTCCCTGTTAATCCATTTGCTTAAGGGGTCAACTGGATTGCAGGTTAAACAAAATTATGTTGACTACATTTCATAAACGAGGATTGACTTTCTACAGCAATGCTATTGTGGTTCTCTTGTCATTCAAAATGTCCTGATTTGCAATGGAAATTGTTTCATGCTTCATAACAATAAAGTAGTTATTTTTAAACGCCACTACCACAGTTTATACTGTTTCTGACAGTTCTGTGTGGCAGAGACCCTGCAGGAACCCCATGTAACTGCACAGATTGGTGCAGTGCCTAGATTTTTCCCTGTCAGTCAGGTTTCAGGGATTCTATGAAAATTATTATCCTTTTTTTTTTGTAACTTTATGAAATTTTGAAGCATTCAGGATGAAATTATCTAGTCTTTCTGCTAAAATATAATTTATTTATTTTTTTTTTTAATCTAGGAATTATTTTCTTCATGGTACATACAGCTACCTAAGTTAAAAAATAAACATATTACTCCCCATACCCCAGGCTCTCCAAAAATACAAGACCATGATTTTGTGAAAGTTCTTACTGTTTACAGTGATACAAAAAAAATTTAGGAGACTTCTTTTTTCATTGACAGCTGTGTGCTAGATATGTGTGATTTGAGATGGTTAGGAAAGTTCTTGAAATCATAAATGAATGCATAGACTCCTTTTACTTCCTTTATCAAAAATGAAACAAAACAAAGGCATTCTTCTTAATTTTCAAACAACTCACCGTGTCCAAACCTGTATCTTGGAATCTAGATTCATTTTTTTCTTCCCTGAAACACAGCTACTCAAAATACAGATGGTAGTTGCTTCTGTTTGAAGCTGTAGCTGCTGCTTCTGACAAATACAAGCTTTACAGAAAGAAACTTAAGTCGTTTTGTACAAATAGATAAAGACTTGCAGCAATGGTTGTCATCAGCATTTCCTCAGGATTTTTTTTTTCTGTTTCGTTAAATTATGTCCTAGATTTCCCTTAAATGGCTTTGAAATCATGAAGGTATTTAAAGAACAGAAACATCTGAAGAATTGGAAGCCTTGAAGAATGTCATTCAGTCTTTGACACAGGAAGGAAGATACAGGTCTCTATCTGTTCAGGCTTCAATTACAACAGCCCCCTGTTTGTACACACAACTTATCATAGCAACCCATAAAGTACAAATAAATGGTAGAAAGATGGTTTCCAGTAGAAACCATCAGGTTATTCCATGTCTGTTTTTGCTGAGGGTATGTTCTTATTATTTGGTGAACAGTGCAACTGCATCAGTTAATCCTGAAGTTCTGGTAGTATTCATTTTCTGCAGATGTGTGACAGGTGTGTAAATTCTAAATTTTGTCAATTATTAAACATGAGTTGTTTTATCTTTTGCATTGTTTTCATATTTAAAGTGTTAATTTTGTATTAATGTCATTATTTTCGAAGGGTTTTTATGTTACAGTTCTGAAATTTAGTCTTTGGACTAGATGACACTCGTGCGAATCTCCTTCTTGCTGAGGAGCCTTACAGTTCTGTAGCAATGGAACTTCGACAAGGAGGGTGCATGCACATACCACTGCTCCTAGATGTAGAACGAATGTGAAGGGCAAAAATACACATTTATTGAAGTAGATACTTACCCTTTCTTTCTAATAACAGTGTCCCCAAATACTTTGCATATCTTTTATGGACTATGATATCCCCACTATATATACAGAGGGAGCATTAAGACTTGTATTAGGAGATAAATCTATTAGTTGGGTCTTATTGCTACCAATATTACCTTTCACAGAAAAAAAGGGCAATATTCCAATTTAGTTTTGCAATAATTTCAGCAATAGAAGAAGAATAACAAAATTTAATTAAATAGGACTGAAGAACTAGAGAATGTAAGACTGAAAGAAAGAAGCTTTAGTTGCTGTTGTTTGTGATACAAGTAAAGAAATTTGACATGATAAATGAATGTGCCATCAGATAATAGGAAGCAATTTACAGGCAGCAATTTACTCCTATAGTCCTGATTAGATATGGAAGTGTTTAATTCATAATTTCCTTCAGGTGCTTGTGCAATAAAATCAGAATTTCCTTTCATTTAAAAGAGTGTGTAAAACACTAATCAATGGAACTACATTAAACGAGGCAAAAAGTGACTGCAGAATAGCAATACAGTCAAAGAAAGGAGACAGTGGATGATAACTGGTTTGCATCTTTATAAGTCACTACAAGTGTACAAATCAAAAGTATATCATTAAAGAGAAAACTTACGTTATATCACATGTCTTTTAAGAAAAGAAATATTTATGAAATACTCTTAAACAACTGATGCATAGGTGTATCTAGACATGATTTATGTATTAATTGAAAATTGAGGAGCATTGCCTGAATTTTAGAATTGTAGAAAGCAGGCTTTTTGCATGAAAGCAAAGTACAAATCCAACACATTTGAAAAAGCTTCCTCAGTTATAAGGAAGCTTTTTGTATTATTCAAATGTATGAATTCTACAGCAACTTCTTTCTGAGCATTTAGAAGAGCATAAACAGAAGCTATATGACAGAGTGCCTTATTTTTTTTTTTCCTTGATGTGCTTCTCAGACACTATAAAACGTTATGGTTTGTGGCCATCTAGTGGTGAATCCATTTTAAATACACTAACCTTGTTCGAAATTTTAATAAACCAGTCCTCTATCTTTACTTCTCAAAACTGAATTATAACACAGTTTTGGGAAAAAAAAATAATTCTATATATCTTTTTCTGGTTTGCACTAGTAATTTTTTTTACAGGGTGAAAACATCTGTGAAGGTCATTTCCTTCTTTCCTTTTCTTTGTGTTATCTCCAAGACAAAACAGTTTTTGATGTTAAAGTTTCATTTTAGCAACCAATTTTGATGTATGTGGAATTTTTCCATTTTTATTCTGTAATTTTTTTAATGTCCAAATCCTTAATAGTAGTGAATTTATTATTTCCTAGGCAGAAATGTATACATTTTATGTTTTCCCAAGATACAAAATATTCTCTAAAATAGCTTTGAAGTATACATGAATTCTGAAAGCAATTCATATTCTCCTTAATTTGACAGACAATATGGTAGCTCTCCTTCTTAAGTCTTCATTAATAAATTACCTTCATAATAACATTTTATAGTATTTTTCTCTATGAGCAATGGTTTTAAATATAATGAGGAAATCATTCAATCATAAGCAGAAGAGATCACTGCAAGTATCAGTAGGAGACAGTGTAGTAGAACTATGGCAAGTCATATCTTGAATGAGATGAGGCTACATGGTTTATGAGACCTGGTGGACTTCGAGCGTCTGCTAAGTCTCTGGCAAATGAAAAACTGAAAATTTGTTTGTATTAGAGAAATAATTAAATAAGCTTGTTAGTAACAGATTTAAACATTTGTATTTCTTGGTTTCACTAGATAATAGCAAAAATCTGAAAATGTGGTGGTTCCAGTGATTATTTTTTTCCTTAATTGGGACTGTGAAATGTTTTTCGTAATGATTTTGGCTTTACCTTGTGTTTCTTTCATCAAAGTGTCATTTTTCATATCTGTCCATTCCAACTAGCAATTCCTTGAGTTTTCACAGTGTTGACATAGACTTCTGCTCTTTTTTTCAGTTGCTGTAGATATTCCTTTTATTTAATTTGTAGGTTTCACCAAGATAACAGATAAGCATACTACAACAAAAATTCTTTAAATTCACTATCCAGCATGCCACCATCCATCCATTAACATTGAACATTGTATCAGGATGGTGTTGGGTTAATGTATGTAATGGTTTGTTTCATTTTCAGGTATTTGGAGTGGATGACAGCCAGGATTATAATAGGCCTGTTATCAACGAGAACCAGAAAGATTTAGTAAAAGATTGGGCTATAAATTCTGCTACAGTAGTGCTGGAAGAAAAAAGAGCACTGAGTACAACTGGATTTCTTGACACAGAGGTAGAATTTAATTTTTGATGGTCTTCTTTTTTCTTCCAATAAGAGAGAGCACTAATAACTGACCAGTAAGTGTTAAACAGCAAACAAAACCTTGCCTAGCAAGTATTAGCTCAGATCTGTAAGTATTTTATTTTTCTTAGGACTTTATTGCATTATCAAAACATCTCTGTCAGAAACAGGCACGTTGCATTGTGAAGGTGTTTTAAACTTTGCTGCCTTTCTGTGTGCACTAACACCGGTGTACTGGAAATGTAGCAGGAGCTTCCTTGCAACATTGTATTTGCAACACATGTTTGCACAGTATGTGCTTCTTGTAAGTTATGCAGCAAAACTGAGGAAAAGCCGGTTATGTTTTATAGCCCAAAGCAAGTAACTATATTAAAATTCAGAAATAAGATGTATGCATTTAATGTATGATACAAAGTAGCTAGGGAAAAAATGATGGATAATACATTTCAGATTTTTTTTCCGAAGCCAGAGGACTTCAGGTTGTTACATGCATGGTTTGAGTGAGATGCCACTCATGAGAAGTCACTTATGTTAAATGCCTTAGAAATAGTATAATTTAATCAGCAGATGGAATATTAGGCAAAGGAAAATGCCTGTTCTTTATATATGACTTAGAATATGCTCACAAGCTAGATGTTAGTATTTCATATTGAAATCTTGGGACACATTCTGATATCGTTGTGATGGACAAACTATAACTTGAAATATGTTGGGAGCAGAATGGGCTCGCACTGGAGGAGAATTAATCTAGTAACAGTAATGAAGGACACCACACTTCTACTTCCATGGGAACTGTTTTTGAAGTATGATCCTTTAAATTAGCAAATTTTATAAACCAGCAAATTTTCTGGAATATATCAAGAGCTTAATGTATCGATGTGTGCCTGCCATGCAAATACATTGGGTTTAGTGTCTAGGAATCTATTTCTAGAGAAGGTGTGCTTTATCATGGTTGCATTTTAGCTGCTCTACAGTCTTGATACACTAAGTATGTTACTCTATCTAGATTGGTATTTTTGAATAGTTTCTCTGAGGTTATTGCTTCTAGTAAATTATTGCCATACAGCATGGGCATATCGTGTGGAAGAATTTGACAAACTTTGCCTTTTACCTTGCTGCTTTCATGGATCTATAACCACAATCTTTTTCTCTCTTCTTTTTCATGCCTTCTGCAGCATTCAGCTGTTTCGTGCCATATCAGTTTTCAAGATTATTAAAAGTATTGATATTTTTTCATTTCTGTAATTTCATAAGCAGAAGAATATATGATTTATTTTATGAATATAATTGAGCTTTCCACATGTTATATTTTGCAAATAACAGATTTTGATTTTACAAGACTGAGACTTCTTCTGCAATCATAGAGCAGGTTTAAGAATCCTTCTGGCAGTGGCATAGTAAAACTCACTTTGATTTAGGTTGAAATTACAAGAGTGATGCCTTTTTATGACTGTGGATGCTTTGCTGAATAAAAAAGTCTCCGTATATTGGGAAGGGAATGGGTTATTTGGCATAGCCTTAATTTACAAGATTATTACGAGGCATGATAGGGGGGAAAAATGAAAGTTGTTCAGTAAGTAAAGGAGCAAAACTGGCATCAACAATGTGGATATAGCAAGAGTTAATGTAAGAATAGATTAGGACAGATGAAGATGGAAAAAAGCATACCAGAGAAAGTTAAAAATAGAAGTTAATAAATATGTAGAAATAAAAGAGAAGCTAATTCAGAAAAATAGAAATGTGTTTTGTAGTGTCTTAATGGAAAACAGTCATGAGGGTAACTACTGAGAGAAGATTGTAGTGTTTAAAGTCTTATTACCAAAATCTACACTCAATTTGTTTTATCATTAGGAAAGGGAGAAGCAAATGTGTTTGATTTGTAAAGTACATAGGTATCATGTCATTATACACGAACTTTTCTGTTTGTGGTTTATGGAAGACTTACTGCATTGCTGAGCTGCAGATCATAAGTTAATAAACCTTGTTGAAGGTCTTGGCTAAGTAATCAACTAACCTCAGGGTAGCTCGGTGTTCCAGGCTTGCATCCAGTCATACTTTGGGTGGACCTTGTTCCAGCTGCCAATCACAGTTGTACCTATAGATGATTTAGCAGAATGAGCTGAATTCAGAACATGATTGGCATAGAAAAAGCAGAGAATAAAAATTTAAGATGGCTTGGGAAATTGTGAAGATTTTATAAAAACTATTTTGGGGTTGAAAGATTATTCTGAACTTAAATATTCTAACTTTGCAGGGCTTGTGAAGTACCATGAATGTGTTTGGAAAGGACCTAAAATATTGCTTCTCTTATGAAGAAATTCTCAGCTTTTCCTTTGATATGACAAGCTTTGGTACTTAGGCGTAGTGTATGTCATGAAACTAAATAAAATGCAGAGTGAATATCTGACGCAGTTGGATTGAGCCTGCATGCACCAGTTCTTGCCTTTTCAATGATTACTGATAGGCAGTAAAGATACTAAATCCATCAATTTTAAATATTTAAATGTTTTTATTTTCTATATTATAAGCTGCCACTTGCCAACCAAGGTAAGTGTGATTTAAGAACAAAAATTAAATAAGATAGAGAACAAAGAGATTATTATTGTCGTCGTTGTTATTATTATTTATTCTTACTGTGTGAATTTGATTGATAAAAATACTGCAGACATTTGGGCTATGATTTATCCCTCCAGCTTTCATTTAATTTTCAGCAGCAAGTTATTTTTGCTAACCACAGTTCTTAAATAATATACATGGTTTATCAACGTTGTCTTTGATGTGCTTCTTAAGAACATACCTGGTTTTTGTTTGTTGTGTGTTTTTTTTTTTTTAAATTGTTTGTTAAAACTACAGCACAGTTAGAAATCTGATTCTGCATCTGCAGTCATCAGTGCCATTGACTACAATGTTCCTTTTCCTGTTTTGAATGCCCACTTCATGTCTTTTCCACTGAAGATAAAATAAATAATACCACTGACATTCTGAATACTGAATAACTTCATTCATGTAAATATTTGCTGTATGGCTTTTTAGAAGTGGAGAACTGCTGTGTGTATTTAGAGGCTGCATTTCTTTTGTTTGTACTCTGTGATTACACTGATTTCCTATCCTTCTGTAGAGCAAACCAGTCTGAAGTTTGATGCTTGCTTTTTGTTTGAACTTAAGATGCTGTACTGAAACATGGGATGATTCTGCCACCAATGTCATATGGCTGTGAAAAGGCAAATATGACCCTTGGATACCCTGGAAAATGTATTGTCAGTAGAAAAGGGAAGTGTTGTTGCCATGGTAGAAAGTGTTGGTGAAACTTCCTCTGAAATACTGGCACTAGGATTGCATGCCATTCTTGGTTAAGAAGGGTGAATACAAAACTAGAGAAGGTACAAAGAGGTCCACTCAAATTATTACGGGAATGGAGCTTTACCTTACAAGAACAGATTGAGACAATTCATTTAGTCTAGCAAAGTTGTAACTGAGATGGGTACAGTTGCTGGATTTTCTGTGTAAGTGGAGTAAATGCAACAGAAGGAAAAAGAACTATTTGAGATAGATGTCAATGTTGTGTCAGGAACAAATGTGAAGACATTGACCATAAATAAAGTGAGTATGGAAATTTAGAAGAAGATCATCATCCCTGAAAGAATATGATTCTGAAGCAGGTAGAGTGGGAAAGGTCTTAAAGAACTGCTTTCAAGAGGGCACTTCAATTTTTGTGAGAGGATGGCATAATATGATTCTTACGACATGAGATGACTGGAGTCTGTGTCTGAAAAGACTATTCTTTTTTTTTTCCTTTTTTTTTTTTTTGTTCAGCTTGTTAAAGTGTTGTGTGTTTAGGTTTTTTGTTTTTTTTTTTTTTAAAGTATTCTTCTGCTCTGAAATGCCAAGTATTGGAGTTGCTTCCAAGTGCTGTGTGTGTGCTGTGGGTTTTTTTTCAGATGTAGAGCTTGAAGCCCTAAATCTTCAGGCTGAATAATAAGTCCACAGAAATCCATGGGAACATTCTCTGAAGATGTAGTACTCCAATTTAGTTTGTATAAGCGATAAGCATAAGGGAAAGCAGATTTAACATGAAGTTAAAAGGCTGAAAGACTAGGAAATTCCTTTGGTATTCAAGAGAAAATTTGGAGGATTGCTTACCTGAAAGCCTGGAAGATGCTAATTGATATGGATTATAGGAAGAACATTATGATAACTGAATGTGACTTTTTTAAATGTGTGTTTTATAAACCTTTCACTTTTTGAATGTGCTTAAACTGGTATTGAAAGAAACTGCTTTTCATAGCTTTGTTGTTTGTGCTTGTATATACAGAGAGGTGGCAAAACACACATTTACATTCACTCCTATGTAGAAAACAGTTTTTTGGCAGTGTAATTACTTTCAGAGAAAAGTAAATTATCATGTTTCTTTACTACAGTTAATCTGCAAAGTCTTAATGTATTCTCTTTTGTGAAGTGGAATTCAGATTTCTGATACATAGCATATCTGTATCTCTGGAACTGGTGGTACACAAGGAACTAACTGGAGTTTTCTGTAGCAAAAATAATTGAGGTGTCTATCATATTTGGTTTTGACTGTAATTGTTTTATTAAAGATGGAAATTCACTAGTACAGATAGGAAATAGAGAAAAGTTTAGAGATATGAAGGAAAAATAAGGCTTCAGCAGTAGTTATCAATGCATAAATGCTGCGTGTTTTTGCATGGAGTTTTTGTAATATTCTTTCTGGCACCCTTTTCCTTGCGTTGTGTTCAGAAATGCCCATAAATAACAGAAACACTGAATTGCCTTCCTTTGCTGTTATTAGTCTTGAATTTTGTAACATTTTGATTCTAAGAAATTAATTCGCAATGTGGAATTTGTATAATAGTTCAAACAAACGGTTTGGTGCATCTCTGACTTACTACATTCAGAGTATTCTGAAAGAGATTTGTGACATTGCACTTGTTTGCATTAATTAGGGTCATTCATTTAATCAGAAGAAATTCAAGATCATAAATTTCAGTCTTCTCAAAAGTCTAAGTAACTTTTAATTTGAAAGATGGCATCATACACTAGATGACATTGTTCACCATTCCATTTCTGCTAAATAAATTTTATAAAATTTATAGGGTTGGTTCCTGGTCGAAGACTAGAATCCCAGATTAGCCAAGGCATTTAGCAAAAATCAGCATGCTGAATAGATGTGCTGAGATTGGAAGAGGCAGCAGAGCTTCAGCGAACCTTTGAAATAGCTCCTACTGATTTCCTTATTAAGCATGTTTCTGGTATCTCCATGTCCTTCGCATCTCTCTTGTTGATCTTGAATTGTGATTTCTTGATTGACTTGCCTATGGTTATGTAAATCCTTTGGAACTGGAGTCAATAATTTCTGCCATTTGCAGTGCTTTGTCTTTTGAGTCCAATGAATTAGACGATGTAAACATCTACAGAGCCTCTGATAGCGTAAGGTCCATGTGTGTGCGCATATGTTTGTGCGCATGTGTTTTTGCCCATGGCAGGGGGGTTGGAACTAGATGATCTTTGAGGTCCCTTTCAACCCAAACCATTCTATGATTCTATGTGCACATGTATATGCATCAACAATTGCCTGCTGTCTTTTTGAAGACATGAGCAAGGAAGACTACGATAAAACAGCAATATTGCATTATATTTAGAAATCAGTTTTTGAAAAAAAAATATGTAAGATACTATAACAACACAAGAAGATGGTTTAATTTTATATTTACTTTTTTTACATTTTAAAAATTTTCAAGGTTTCAAAAGGCTTACTGTCAAGAAAGTAAATTAATTTCCTTTCTAAGTCAGCTGCAAAAAATAATCAGATACTGATTGCATTGACTTCACTGTTACCCAGTGGGATGATCCAAAACTAATCTTTGCCTCTTTTTTTCTTTAGGCCGAACAAATAACCTGATCTTCCTTTCCTTTCCTTTCCATCATAAGTTAACTTACTCTTTCAGTCTTTAAGGTAGTCTTTCTGTATTGAATTAAATACAATATTTCATCCTGACAAGAGCATGGTTTTGATTTTTGAACACATACACCCCCACATCTTGTTTTAAAACCCACACTGGTTTTAAAACTAATTTGTTCTAAAATATTTTATATAGGTTCTGATGTTTAAAAGTTCACTGCACTAGAAAATGACGTTTATTCTGTACTGATTCTGCAATTTTGTTTGTTTGCTTGCCCTTCTAGAGCTAGTAACTCTAAAATTTATCGAAGTAAACTCATTTTTCAACTTCCTCCAGGAAAACAGTGTCTGACGTATCTATTCAGGAAAAACCTGGAAAGAGGACATGCTTTTTATCAAACAGTTGTAATTTTTTTTCTGCTTCTTTTCTTCCTTAGGAAGGTTCTACTGCCCCTGGAAGTAAACGTTGGGTGTCACAGTGGGCCAGCTTGGCTGCTAATCACACGCGTCATGACCAAGATGACAGCAGATTGGAGTCATCTGTGCCTGCTCCATTAGAAAATGGTATTAAAAGCTGTTCACGTTGTCATAATTTCTGCTGAAGAAACCTATGAAAGGGAGAAGAGAGTGATTATGTACCTACATAAGCAGCTTTCTTACTCTTAGTACCTCATCTTCACCTGAAATTCTTTCGTGTCTTTGAGAAGAAACAGCACAAAAAAGAACTCAACATTAGTGTTGTTTGGCATGGCAGAAGTGTATCAATATTAAACAAATATTCCTAAACAAAAAAAAAATATAAGAACTTTAATATTAAAGAAACTTTTACTTGAATGCAGGTTGGGTTGGTCTGCATGGTATGTTTCTTTCCTTACATCTTTCTTAGTACTGGCCCCAAATTGGACTTTAATGGATCAATTGTTAAACAGTCCAACCTGAGACTTCATTATTCAGCTGAAGTATAGCCTACTTCCTTATCTTGGAAACATAAAAAGCCTTCTATCTTTATCCTCCTTTCTTGTGAGTGCCAGATGGTCAGGCTATGTCTCTCCTTAGTTAAACTATTCACATTTCTGATTTTAAATGGTTTGTTCTCTACGCAATTGACTTCTTTCTTTACTTCTCTTCTGCTGTTATCTTCTTCTCAATTTCACCTTAGAGATGATGATTTAACACAGAATTCTGGTGTAATTTTTATGCTGACACTTGTGTATTGACATGGAGTTAATGTAGCTCTTTGTTACAAAGTTGACTGGTATCTACAAAGGAATGTCAAGTTAATGAATGTTTCATATTCTGAAAGTGATATGCTGTTTAGTGATCGAGAAGCAACTCATTATTAGTCTACTACTTAAGATATGTTTTGGTCCTGCAATTGCAGCATTTCCTCTTATTCCAGCTGACTTTGAAGTTTAAAAGATTAGGGGACAAATGTGTTTTAGAAGTAGAAATGCTTTTCTGTGTCCGCCACTTCTGAAGATATACTACCCTCTACAAAACTTTTCCAATAACCTCTTGTTAGACATTGGTGAGTAGAAGAAATTTCTTTTTCCTATGGTTTTGAGCATCTTTTTAATTTGGAGTTTTTTCTGGTTTGTCTTTTTTTTTTTTCCCCAGAAGTTACATTCACAAGTGTAATGTGTGTTCTCTGCTTTTTTATTATAGCTGCTGGCTTATTTCAGATTTTCAAGAATCCATGTCTGTTAAAATTTCAGAGCAAGCTACATTTTTGACGTATAAGTTACTCTCTCAGAAAAACACATTTTCAACTAATAAAGCCAAATCTTTACTGCTTTCAGAGTGGAACCCTGTGGTTCTCTCCTTGCTTAGACTGCACACCTGGTCACAGCACTCTGCCCAGCAGTCAGGCCTCCTGCAGAAGAAAAAATTGCCTATTACTAAGTTCTTTGTTTTTTCCCCTACCACTACCTTGGGTCCTCAGACCGGTGTAAAAGTGTAGTGACAAAGATTTCTTTAAAGTCTTTATCTGTGCCACATGACATATTAAAAAAAAAAAAAGAGGGAGAAACAAAGAACCAATAATGATATTGTCCATATTTTTCTGCCCAAATTTTAGGTTTCTTGGTAGGTTTAGGTAACTCCTGTTGTTCTGGCCCAGGTTAGCTGAACTGAACCATTGTCTGAACTGCTGAATCTTGAATCCCATAGGCGATATTTTTTTTTTTTTCTTCCTTTTAAATTCCCTCTCTTTCTCCTGTACCACCTTAACCTAGTTGTAACTAATATATGCATTTCCCAAGTAGATTTGTGACAGGTTTATTTTACTACCCTCAGATTTCAGATAACACTAATAAATTAATTCAGATAATTTCGGTGTTCTTTATGGAGATCTTACCTGTACAATTGTTTCTTTACTGGAAAAAAGACAGTTAGCTCTTAATTCTCTGTATTATTCTGGCACAATGAAAGGAAGAGATAGAACACGACTTTTAATTCCAAAGTTGAATAGATAACTTGACTACTTTAAAAAAAAAAAAAAAAAAAAAAAGAAATAGAAATGTTATTGGAAACTTCTTCCAAAATGAAGCTGAGTTATGTATTGATTAGCAACTGAATTTCTATTCAGCTTTGTATTCAGCAGATGAAAGTATATGTAAGCATGTTTAAATAACTGCTTCATCAAAAAAAATTATTTTTCTGATAATTTACTTTTTGAAGTACATTCACATGGGTTTAAAATCATAGAAGGTGAGACTGTTCTATTAAAGCAAGAATTAAAAGAATAATAATAATAAAATAATTTTTCTTTTAATGTTGCATAATGCAAACTTATGTATCAATGCATAGAAGAATTCTTACCAGTAACCGCTGCTTCCATAGTATCTTTTTACCCCTCATAGCAGTTGAACTTTGCATAGGATACTAAAAGTCAAAGCAGATGGAAAGGGGAAAAAATCAAATATCTGATATACCTTTCACATAGGGTAATGGAAATCAAGAGCGAATTTTGCACTGCCTGAAAGGATCAGGTATACATACAGGGCACTTAAAATCATAGCTCTTGAGACTGATCCTTTGGGTAGTTAATCAGGGGGTTTGGTAGTCTTTTGGTTTTTGTATTGTTTTAAATTGTCATTTTCAGATGGGACACTAACCAGGATCTTCTTAGGAGAGATTAATGCTTCTTTTACCATTATAAGAACTTTATGATTTAACTGAAGCACCTACTGTGTGGTGCATACCCATACTACAAGAATTATAAAATACTTAGAGAAATCCAGACAGCACTCAAGCACAAAAATATAATGAAAATACAATTTCATATGTATGTCCAAAGACCAATTCGCAAAATCTATGTTGTTGGCTTAGATGCCTGTATTTTCTTTAGAAATCTTAGTAGTTAAACTTCACATAACATGTATATAGCCGAAGATAGTGTTGAACAACTCCACAACTTTCTTCTACTAAAGACTGCTTGAAATTTACCAAGAAGCAAGTAACATGCCAAAATGTATATAAAAGATTTGATCTGGAAGATATGTCTGAGAGAAGTCAATCTTCACAGATAGCAATTATATTGATTTTCATTGAACTTCCATTTTTTTATAATTTCCAAGAAAAGTAGTTCCAGGAATTAGAAAACCTTGATTAGATTTCAGAGATACCTTCTGCTTCTCAAATGAGTGTCCTAACATGGATTATACAAAAAAAAATGTGAGTCATTTGCATTCTTCATCAACGGTGTGGCAGTGTGCGAAAAGAAAGATTGAAAAGCTCAGATAGAAAGTAGCAGACATGTACAATTGTACAATATGTATAACTGTATGCATACAGTATGATTATTGATATTCAGTTATGTGCTTAGAGAATTCTTGCAGAGAGGAAAGCCCTGTATTCCAGTTTGTATTCCTGGAACAGCCAATGTTGGTGGCAAGCCTTGATAGAAAGATCCCAACAGGGTATGCCAAGCAGTTGTTTATAGATCTGTCCTGGTGAAAAGTGAATTGACAGATGTGTGGTAGTAAGTATGTCACATTATATTGCAACAACTGACAAATGAACTTGCAAAAATGATTATTTTCTGTCCAATCATTCAAAGTCAGAGCAATTCATAGAGCAATTCGTACTATCTCTGAGTAGTAAAGGCTTGTTTCTGACTGCTGTGTTTGTTAAATGGGCAAGGAGGACACAGGCATTGATGTGGAAAAATAAAGTTTGGTTTTGTAAATGGGAGTGTTCAGCATCAATTATTCCATGCAACAGTTCATGGGATGGCCGTATTTTTCTGCCAAAAGAGCACCGTATATCCACTAAGAATTCAATGAAAGTGCTTTAGCAGTATTGCTGCATTCTTTTGATGCTTTTATAATTTTTCTGAATATTTCTGTTCTACAGTGTCTTGATTGGGTTAAAAGTGTTCTTTCTGCTTTCAACCATAGCAAGTTCTTTCTTCATGAGTAGGGCTTTTCAATACTGCTGAAAGAGTGTCTCCCAGCACTGCAGCCTCTTCCTTGAGGAAGGATCTCTCAGGGAGAGGCTGTAGTCCCTTGATGAGACAAGACCTTCAGCTGTGGAACAGGCAAGTAGTGAGGAAAAAGGGGAATCTTATTCTATTCAGTAGCTTTGAAATCTGGTACTGAATCCATTTAGGAATGTAAGACTTGCTTTCCACTCCCTGTTGTACTGATGTAGTGATAAAACATATTTGTTGTGTACCTATTTTAACCTACTGTGAGAGTTTAAAAACTTCATATGTACGGTCCCAGTGTACACAGCTGGCTAAAAGAGTTCGATTTCAGGGAGAGCATATCTCACATAGCTCAAATTCTTGTATCTATGAAAACTTTCCTTTCTATATGAGAGCAGTCCTAGCCCAGATTATGGAACATATGTACTGAAATTGCGATGAAACAGGAAAAAATAACATAGTCCCTCTGCAAGAATGACACAAACGTTCATGAAGTGTTCCTTTTTCCAGTGTACTGTCATAGTGCGTCAGCAAGGTGGTAATTAGCCTGAGATGGCACACAGGCAATTGTTTAATCACAACCAAAATTATCCGTGTTTGGGAAGAAATTCTGCCTTTTTGTAGCAGAGCAGGAGGCAAGAGTGTTGCTCTGTCTTTGCACTCTTACCCTGCTTCTGAAATGACTCCTTCCCTTTTCCTGCAAGATGCCAGTTTTAGGAAGTACACTTTGGAAGATGGCTTTTTCTGTCCTGGTCACATCTCTGTGCTAAACCAGAAATGGTTCATTACAGTAATTGCATTGCAACCTTTTAGACATTGCTTTCATAGACACGTGCTCTGTATCAACACTTTGGATTGTGTAGAATGAACTGTTCTTTTGTAAGACACTCCTAGCATTCTACTTCCAGTAATACAGAAATATTTTTTTTATATATATATAATCTCTTTAATCAGGAGATACCTGTTGTAAATTTTGTTAGCACGTGATTTTGTCTGGGTTTTATTACAAAATGTATTACAACAATGAAATGAAGTAATATAGCTAGTTATGTATAACTTACTATAGTTTGGAGGTAGTTAATGTAATTCACAGAGTTTC